TCTCTGGACATCACACCTTCATCTTGTCGATCTTTGGCAACGTGCGCTTCAGGTCGGTGTTGGCTCTCACATCTGCGCTCTTTGTCTAGTACTACACTATCTCCACCAGGATAGCGCTCATCACCGCTGTTATTACTAAATACTGGTATGTTGGGTCCTGAGAGGATCGCACCAAGTCGTTTTTTTACGCATAAATGAAAAAAATGCCTTCGACTCGTCCGATTCGATGTTTGTTCTGTCCAAGTCGATGGTCATCTGCTCTTCAATGAGATCATTTTTTCGTTTCGTTTCTGCCAAAAATGCATCATTGCGCATTTTGTTGTCGTGGTCGAGTTGTTTTAAGATACTTGATTCTTCCGTATCAGCAGCTAAAGCAAGTTTCGCCTTCTTCCTTCCTTGGGGACGGTTGATTTCCTCTGTAGTCGCACCATTTCCACAGCTTGATGCATCCGAAGTGCAAGAAATTCCGTCCATGAACTTCTGCGACTTGCGTAGGATCTGCCAACAAGATTCGAAGGTAAATAAAAGCCGTCTTGTGCAGCAAACAGGGCGCGAGTATCGTTGAGATGGTCGTCAGCATTCTTTCCAGACTGGTTTCGAGACTCAACAACACTATAGCACCCCACAAACTTTCCGACGTCCCGCGAAATAAACTACCAGTGATTGCGAACTGCCTGAATGGACCGGTAGTCGTCCGCGGTAATCGGCTTAACCATGCCGTGGAGGCATCCAGAATGTTCTTCCAAAACGTTGCAGCCTTCTGCTCCATGCCATCAATAGGGGACTGCGAGATATGCAGGTATGCTCGAATTAATACCTCATCTTCAGCCGTGCTCCAGCGGCGTCCACGCCCCATCCTAAATATTCACCCAAGCACGTCGACAACTTCCGTAGTTGAGAGATCAAGCAAACGGGCTGATCAGTACGAGATGCCACAGCGGATGTTGGGATAGATCACGTGCTCTATTCATACTCAGAATAGATCTCTGTGCAGTAATGTATACTATTAAATAGAAATAGAGCTTTGACTGGATTACATTGAGCTATTCTAACAGATTATATTCGTATTTATCAATTCAAATAGGGATAGCACACTGGACTGGAGATACGCTAACGCTGAATTAATACACACACTGATGCAGAAGTTCTGCGATATCCGTTATGAAAGAGCGCTACTAATGATGCGGCAATGTGTACACCTCTGATACACTTATTGTGGCCCACTTGATGTGTGGACATACTGCCGTGTCCAGGACTCAGCTGA